TCTTGAGTTGTTTGAAATTTTAGTTAAACCAGCATCGTTGAATGGCGGTTAATTTTTGGGAGGAATTCACGCAAGACAAAGACCCACAACTAAATATGCACTGTCTTGCAAAAAAAAAAAATTAAAAAAAAAAATGTTGACCAAAAGGTTGTTCATCCGATTTAAGAGATATCATACGGTGCTTCTACTAAACTACATCAATTCGAGGCATTTTTCTAATTTCAAAAACCTTTTTTTTAGCCGAAAAATTATTTTTCCAACATTTTTTAATATAAACATTTTTTTGCAAATATCGAAGCAGTTTATTAGTTTAACGGTTCAAGACCAGGGCTATATGGTGAACGCATCAACAGTTCCCAGCCAAGCTCTCTTGGTTTTTGGCAAGGCGCCAAAGAAATTTGCTGTCATGTTGGAATATGACATCTTTACGTTTGACCAATTCCGGTCGCTTCTCGTCGAAGGATGTATTCAATTTGTCCAGTTATTCACAGTGGACATCCGAATTAGTCGTTTGGTTCCTTGGAAATAGCTCAAAATATACCACACCCTTCCAATCCCACCAAACTGACAGCAAAAACTTCTTTTGATGAATTTCAGCCTTTGAAGTGGTTTGTGGCGCTTCATCATGCTTGGTTGATTTTCTTCACAATGGGATCATATTCAATGCGTTTAAGATGCACATCACGAGCATTGAAGCGGGTTAAAGAATTTCTTTTAATTCATATGGTACCCAGTCTTTACCAGTCCAAGACGTCGTTTATGATTATGAACGACTGATTTTGGTATACTTAACTTCTCTCCAATCTCACGCTCAGTTACATGACGATGCGATCGATTAATGCCTTGACATCGTCATCATAAACTTCATTTGGCTGACCTGAGTCTGGCTTATCTTTGAGGGAAAAATCTGCAGAACGGAATTCGGCAAAGCAAAGCGATTTTTGATTGAGATCCTTTTCTATTTTGTGGTTTAAGTCTTGATTTTTTTCCAACAAATGCAAAGGCTATAGTGTAAGCCTATCCTAAGTCGCATCCAAGCGGCCGATGGATTTTAATGATGAGCTTTTATTTCATGTCAGAAATATACTCGGAGGACTTGACATTCCCTACCAAGGGGCGATCACGATTGGAAAAATCAATATTCTATAATTTTGGGTGTAGGTTTAACCTGGATTAGAACCCTGACTTTTAATGTTAACTACTCGGCTACTGCGGCCGCCAAAAGCAATAAAACATGGTATTCCAATAGGAGGTGTTATTTTGATATTCCACGCCACGGTTACGCTCACAGGATCTTATCCCTTTTATGAAATTTTCTATGACCAAATCGAAAGTGGCTGCTGTATGCTCTCTATAGCTACACGAAATCCATCTTTGAGGTATTGATCTTGGTGGCCAATTGAGTTCCTGTTTTAACTGAACTTTATCAGAGTTAAGGATCCAAGTCTTTATGCAAAATACGTTGTAATGACGATTGTGGAATAACCCAATTTCAAAGAACGACGACGAATGGACATATCTGGTGTTTCTTCAACTATTTGGTCAGCAGCAAGAATCTCAGTTGTTCTTGAGCGACGTGCACACTCCATTTTTCGCTCACCAATTTTTGTATTGCCTTCCGACTACTGAACCGTCTCTGCCACGTTTTCAGCACTTTTTGGTGAATTTTAATGATTTTAGTACGTTCCGTACCTTCGGAAAGGCATTGCGCAATGCTAACCATTTGGCTACCGCGGCCGCGGCCGGAAAACCCCATTTACAGTCATACTTCATGTGCAATCTATGTGTTCCTGGATACAGGGATACCCCAGGTAATTCATTACGGACGATGAAACATGCTTACGACGCTGGTTTACCTCTTCCCACGGCAAAGTACATGCTTAAATGGGCTTCTTCCAGGTAAGCTGATTCAAGGTGGTTGAACGAGATCACTTGTAACGTGACCAAACAGCTTTGGCTGAAGGGAGGTGCGAAAAAATCAATACATCTTATACTTCTACACCGGTTCTCCATTGGCATAAGGATGAGCATAAGGACGAGCATAAGAACTGAACACCATTTAATGGGGCTTCACGGGAAAAGAATGGGATATTACTTTAACGATATTTGACTCAACTAGGGGGACTGACCAGCCTTGACATCAGCAGGACACAAGTTCCTTGGAAAACATTTCTTCGACTGTCTCGCTGAGATAGAGGAAATCTCGCCTTTATAAAGCATACGAAATGGTTCGATCATCAGAGAAGGTGAAAGCAGAAGCCTCAGCGCTATTACAATGGGCATATTGGTCTAAGTGTGCTGGTAGCAGCAGCCGCATCGATTTAGACTACCAACGAATGCCAAGTACCCTATAAATAATACTATTGGGGACAGAGATTGCTTACTAACCTAACAAAATAAGTGACCTCTTCTGCTTATCAAGCGATATTTTTTCAACCAAAAAGACAGCTTAGCAGTGTCGTATAGCATTCAGAGTACTTTCGAGCAGCACACTTCGTCTACACTCTGCTAAACAAATTAATCGATTCAATTTTATTTTCCAAGCTCAATTGGCTAAAGTTCAAAGAGGTCAAATCACAGTGATTTACTATATACTAATGTTTTTTTTTCACTTCATATAATTACAACAACTATAACGGTATTAGCTTAATTATCATTACAACTAACCGCAATGACCTGTTGAAGTCGGTACTTCTAGTACAAATTTTATACATAAAATGGAATTTGGTCGCTCGCTATGATCACCCACAAACAAAGACATGCACTTAGTTACATTGATTTAAAACTATTATTTTTTATCATAAACTGGTATAGGAAAATATTATATATGTATGCAGTTATACAATACATATATAAAACCGATTGTATTGAATTTAGTTCATGCGATGCTGCTCAAGCGGTCAGCCTTGAGCAAAAACGCGTTTCTGGTTGCCAATGCATAAATTCTTGAAATGTACAAATTCACGGAGAGCTGAAGGGCCTGAGGAGTTGACTGAGCTTTGCGCTTTAATTGTTCTTTTTTGTAGTGTATCTTACTCGTATTACCCAGCAGCCGGCGGCAGCAGCAACATTCCGCACAGCAGGTGCTTTTGTCATTGAAAGTGAATGGGAATTAAAAAAAAAAAACAATAAAAAAGACGCTTACAAGTGCTTGAGAAAACTAAAGAGGAAAATTAGAATACACGATAGACAATGTTTTGAAAAAAGTTATGCAGGGAATTTTTTTAGACAAATGGGTTTTAAGAACAAATAAAACGAACATAATTTAAGGGGCACACCTTATGTAATGGCCTAAAAAAAGGTGATTTTTGGGAATTTTTATTAAAAAAAAAAAACAATTTTTCAATGATTTCAAAATTTTAAGAATATATTTATACATAATTCAAAAATATGCAGTGAAATTTTTGAAGAAAAAAATTAAATATTTTTTTAGTTATAGTCGATCTCCAACGAAGCGTAAAAAAATATATTTCACGGCTGTAGTGATTTCGGCCTTCTCCGTGGATTAAATCTAAAAAAAGTAATTCTCGTTAAACTATATAATATTATCTGTACAACGATCTGCGATAAAAAAAATTAAAAATTGACAATATGACGGCGTTGCAAAAAAAAAAAAAAAAAGAGTCGAATTTTACCCAAAATTTTGGTCGTTTTGGCCTGCCAAAATTCGATATTTTGATCAGATCAAACATCGATAGGTCATTGTACGGAGAACTATATATAGAACATGTAAAAAAAAAATCGATAGTGATCGGTTCATTTGTTTTTGAGTAATCACCGCAGCAAATTCGGAAAATGCTGTTTCGAGAAAAACGCGTTTAAAAATAAAATGATCGTTTTCACTCGTAGCTAATGAGACTCTCTAGCTGCCGAGCGGCTGCTCTTTGAATTGATATCAAACATTATTTGAGATATTGATTTGAAATAACAATATGTTATTTCCCAAGGGGATTTTTGAAAAAGAAGATCCATTTTTTTGAAATTTCACACTAGGTGTGCCCCTTAATGCTATGGCCAATATCTTAGCTTTGACATTATAAATATTTTAAAAATACTTTCGAGCAAGTAACCTCCGCCGCCGACTTGACTGACGTCCAGCTGAGAGGTCCAATTTCGACCAACTTTTACAGCCTTTGGGGCTGTATGTCAGCAATAACGCGCCGCACATTCCCTTCCAAGACGTCGAGCCTTTTGAACTTATCTGCGTAGATAAAAAAAAATAGTCCAGCATCCAGAATCCCAATAATGCGCTCAGTTGCCTTAAATAAAGTGAATGTTTCGTTGGCTGTAAGGCATGTAACGCCACTTTGTTGGAATCACAGGTCTTTCAAATTAATATTCTTTAATACGCGCATGAAAAAGTCTCTACAGCTTCATTTTTAAAGGAATATGGACCAATGATTCCCTCTGCCTATAGAACCCACCAAACAAAGAATTTTTGGCGGTGAAATGGCGTCTGAACAATAGCAAGTAAGCTTCATCACTGAACAAAATTCTCTTGTGAAAATCAGGATAGATGGCTATGCCGTTTTGGGCCCACTCGGCTTCAATTTTTGCGCGCGATGGCGGATACACTCATTCGGATCTTCTCCGATACTGTGCTTCACAGCAGCAATGGGGTGCTCGGTGCGCACTGTGCGGCCTCTCTGGGGAGGCGCTTTTACCTAATAGAGTAAAGTATTGCCTCGTTGAAAACCACACATCTAAGAAAAATACCCATATATAAAGGATTTGTCCTGAATGATGGACGGATCGGCCCACAGCCTAAGCGGATGCATCCGACAAGTTACACCTTACTGGAAAGTGGATCCAAAAACTCGTATTCCCGGTTCGATTGTCTTGATATTTAGAATGTGGAAAGCAGACCTATTCAAAAGAATCCTAATTAGAATTTGATAAGCTTGAAGTTTGGACAGAAAATGATTATATTATCTAGCTCAAAAATGAATTAAAAATCTCATAGGCATAATTTTCTAATTTTTTCTTATTTTCCGTTGCAGGGCATACAGTGCAATCCCAATGGGCATCGCGATTCGACAGGGAATGGCTTGAGCGCACAAGCGCAGCCGCCGAAAGTCTTTCACAATGCGCGTTGTGCGCGCCACCACAAACCACATCACAATCATAGCCACCAGAGCGGCAATGGCAACGGCAACGGCAACAGCAACAGCCACAACAACAGCAATGGCAATGGTAACGTAAACAGTGGTAACAACAACAACAGCAATAGCAATGGGAGCCTTGCGAATGGCATAACACCGAATGGTCTAACCGACCTGTGTCACCATCAATTGGCCAACTCGCCACCCGCACACGGACATGGACACAATCACACGCACACCAATGGTGGCGGCCATCGGCGTAAATCGGAATCGGTGCTGTCCACAGACTCGGATATACGTTTTACACGTCGCAAGCTGGGCGATAGTCAGAAGTGCGGTTGTGCGGTGATAGCAGGCTTCCTAGTCGCCCTACTCGTGGCCGGCGCATTCGTTTATGTGGGATGTGAGTGTGGAGTGTGAAGTTTGTGGTGGCTTAGGAGTGAAATTCTAATATGTTTTGTATTTATTTTATAGACACTTACTTCCGCCCAGAGCCCTTGCCGGATCGGACGTTCCGTGGCAAATTTTTGGTTATGAACGATAAATGGTCCATGGAACTGGCAGATCAGAATTCCCTGAGATTTAATCATAAAGCACGCGATTTTCGTGAACGAATTAATTTAATAGTGAAACGCTCGGATTTGCGTGAGGCTTACGAGGGTAGCGAGATCTTGGCATTGGATGGGTAAGTTTCTTATTTGTTTTTGGATAGAGTTTAATAATTATTTACGAAAACTTGCAGCACGGAGGACACCAATGAGGTTGTCGTGCATTTCAATCTCATTTTCGACCCGTACGCTGGTCTCGTGTCCACAGCGGACCTGTTGGCACTGTTCAGTGAGGAGATAAACTCGCCATATCGCAAATATTTTGCCAATATGACCGTGGATCCACAAAGTTTAAACATCAAAGAGGTGACCGGTATCATTGAGGAGCCGGTTATGTCCTCATCACCTCTAGGTGGTGAAGATGAGACGACGGAAATCATTACAACCACACCTAAGCCACCACGTCGTTGCGAGCCGCTCAAGTTGAACTATTGTCGTTCGATTGGTTATAATATTACCACATATCCGAACTTCTTGGGCCATCATTCTTTTGAGGAGGTACAAGCTGATGTAATCGCATTTCGTGAATTGGTCGATGCCGAGTGTTTTCGTGAAGCTTTCGATTTTGTTTGTCGTTTATTGCAACCTCCTTGCGATACGCATGGTTCATTTGAGCCGACAGCTGGTGTGATGTGTCGGGAATATTGTCAGCTCTTTATGAAGGGTTGTGGTAGTCGTTTACCTGCTCGTTTCAAGCGTTATTTCGATTGTGAAACATTCCCTGAATCGACGGGTATACAGAGTTGTCATCACAAGCCACATTGCGCGCATGACTTGCAGAATAATGCTCAAAGTCCACGGTTGTGTGATGGCATCGTGGATTGTCCGGATTTTTCAGACGAACGTACCTGTACCTTCTGCACGGGCAACTCGCTGTATTGTGGTAGGGGGAGAGCATGTGTGGCTCGCAAGGCCCGTTGCGATGGTAAAGCTGACTGCCCAGACGGATCGGACGAGAAAGATTGTCGTAAGTATTGTGGAGGGAAACTCAAGAAAAAATTAGATTTAAAATTTATTTTGCTCTCTCGCTTCACAGTTGCAATAGCTCCATTGGCATCCGATCTTTTAAAACCCGAGCCAATGGTGTCCTATTTACCTCGCTTTCACTCTGAAGGTTTCGCAGTGTTCTCCGAGAAGGGCGTTGTGGGAAAGCTATGCGCTGAGGGTCTGGAGGAGGATAGTAAATTAATAGTACGCCAAACTGTTGCGGAGTCTCTTTGCAAGTCACTGGGTTATGAGTAAGTTTTAGAAATAATACCGCATAAGATATTCTTAGACTAATATTCTTACTTCGCGACAGATCTGTGGAGATATTTGAAGTCCGCAACGACACAGAACAAGTGGAGGATTATGTGCGCGTACTGGATCCACACGCGCCCGAGATATCTTTTATACGGACGCATTGCCAGAAACGGCAGGTGCTCTATGTGGGCTGCGGTGAGTTACAGTGTGGTGTGCAGTCGGTTCTCTCGCCCAAGCAACATCTATCACTACCAAAGATGTCTTCTCCTGGTGATTGGCCTTGGCTGGTGGCGCTCTATCGTGAGGACATACATGTTTGTGATGGCACATTGGTATGTAGGATGTCCTCAACTCGTAAACATATTATTTTACTGTTACTTTCTCCGCAGATTTCACGTGATTGGGTACTGACCACAGAGTCTTGCTTTCAAGGACAACCACGCGCCACATGGATGGCCATCTTCGGTTCGGTGCGGCTCTCCTCCAGTGCGCCATGGACGCAGCGTCGTCGCATAATTGGTTTGATAAAGAGCCCTGTGGAGGGCTCTACAGCAGCTTTAATTCGCCTTGAGACGCCAGTGAATTTCTCAGATCATGTACGACCAATTTGCCTGCCTGATGAACTCAAACGCAAACAGGAGCAACAAGCGAAACGGCGCGCTTTTGTGCCAAAGGCGGAACGTCTAGAAGGCAAACGACCAGCGCCGGTAGTACCACCTACACCCAGCGCCATTCAACGTCGGCTCGCAAAAGAATCTCAACAATTCTTTGTTTCGCCCGCGGTGGAACTGGATGCAACAGACATGCACAGCAGTAGTAGTAGTAGTACAGAGAGTAGAGAGGAATACTCACGTTACGAGTTTGATCCCTCCCAGGCGGCTGCCTCACAAATGCCACATGCCGAGGCGCTTATGCAGACGATGGAGCAAAAATTCAGTGAATACCCGCTGCCTAAGAGTGCACCACAAGTGAATTACTATGGTGGTTCATCAGCTGGCCGATACGCACCTATGCCTGTGTCTGCAGGTGGTACTGTAGGTGCTGTTGGCCGTACACCAATTGGCGCGGGGGTACATAAAGTAGCCGTAGCACCGCCTAAAGTTGAAGAGATCTGGACAAATTGTAATACGCTTGGCTGGTCCAGGCAGCGCGATCAGCTACAACGCGTTCAGTTGAAGATTGGTGATATGGCGCCGTGCGAGAACATCTCAATTGCGACAGTAAATAGCATGTGCACCGAGGCGACGTATCAGAAGCACGATTGCACGGTAAGTGTGTTTTGAAGAACGGTTTTCTCTTGATGAAATCGGGCTACGATCGATGATCCGCTTAGAAGTCTCTAAACTCCTTGTAATATTCACGAATTATTATCTGTACTGCCCTTGGTGTAATGACTTAATCGTTACGACGTTTGCGTGGAGAAAATCCCATAAGGTTAATCTCCTTGGTGATTCCTCCACCGTTCCGTTACGTCAGCATGTTTTTTTACTTCGGTTTTCTTAGATAACGCATTCACTTCTTTGTCCCTATGTAAAACTGAACAAATATAACCTCTGAAGTGATTTTCGGTCGAGCTCCTCCTCAAATTAGTGCCGAGCGTATTGGTATTCTTCTAGAAAATAGACCCGGCAGTTTTTTCCAAGTCCCCTCCGAACGACCGTTGGATTTTAATGAGAAGCTTTTATTTCAGGTGAGCTAAACAAACTGAAGCGTTGCCATTTCCTGCTGTTAAAATTATTTTGGTCTGACCATTGTACTCACTCACAACCCTGCGCATAGTGATCATTGCTAACTCCCCGGCCTATATGCTCGCTTCCAACCCCTTACTTCCCCTCCTTACATTTTTTGTGACCTGACTTTTGAAAAAAAGCTCTTATGGCTAACTGAAGATTTGCTTCTTCAAAAAAATCTGTAACTTAAAATGGTTGAGAGTGCGGATGCCGGAAGCTGTAGCGCTGAACTGAATCTCAGACAACTTCTTGGACTGACCTATTACAGCAATATTTTCCTGGTAGAAGTCCTCGCTCGCGTAAGTAAACTTGAAAGCAGGGAAGTGGTGGCGAATCAAGGTACAATCGAATGGCTTCCCGGTCTGTAAAACCTCCAGATGGTGTATAAGGACAGCAAAGGAGCGTGCAGTCTGTTTTTGAACAAGAATTACGCGATAACCTAAATGGGGTTAGGACGGCAAAAGCATGATAGTCCTTGGCCGACTGAAATCCGAGTCAACATCCAATCAACAGCAAAACATCTATGTTACGCGTATAGGAACTATGATGTGCCAGTAATAACTGCTGGTATGCTACCATCGGGAACACCCTCACAGACTTTCACTTGAGGGTGAAATACCTCCTATGCACATCCGAAGGGGAGTACTTGACTACACCGACGATTTTCAGCACCAACCGCTGGACAGCACGGCGTACCGACTGGCTTTAAACACCGCTCTCGGAATCTAAGCACCGCACATTGTAGACGAAGAGATCGAGCTGGCCCGAGAGACTCGATTATTGCTAACTCAATTAAGATGTGGATATTGTAGTCGACTTAATTCCTGCTTATCCAGACTTAATCCCGATATACAACTAGCGAACGTTACTCCTATATGCGATGAGACTCCCACGACACTAATCACCGCTTTGCATACTCGCCCTTTCACTCTGGTATAAGCCCGTCAAAACAGTTCATTTCCTGGACCTACCGTTAGTTAACCTCTATTACTTAGACTAGACTAGTCATGTTTGCTCCTAAGCGAAGTTGGATAGCCACTACAACAGCAATAAGGATTGCAAAACGATTGTAGGCCTTACGACAGGCCACAAACTACTAGTTGTTACTCCTAATGTACCAGACATCTAGGGCTTCACAGTTCAGAGTCCGGAAGAGTCCGGAAGCACAGCAGTAGGTCTATGTAAGGTGTATCAGTCGGCCAATGTTACCTGACTTGAGCTATCGCATTACCCATTTCTTCATAGAGACCTTTTGACTGCTTGCAATGCAACAGCATTACAGAAAGCGATATTATCTTTATGAATACTTTTTTACAATCCAAATATTATTTTTCTATTGTTTTTATTATCGTAACTTCTTAAGTTAGCTTTTCTTAAAATAAAAATTTACATAATAAAGTTTAAAAAATTTACGATTTCCGAAAAATATATGATAAGTAAATTATTATATATAGTATACATATGTATATGTACATATTTCTGTAAATTAGTAATTGTACATGTTTATACGTACATATGTACATATGTACATACATATATATATACATACATACATATACATATATTTATATTTACGTACATATGCACAGATATTTGATTGCTTTGCTTTTCTTTCTCTTTTTTTGTTTTGAGGAGTATATGATTATATCAGTTCATTATCTAAATTTATTTTAATACTAGTAATAAATATTATAAATAAAAAAACGTCGTATACACAGTAAAATAATATATGTATGTATAACTTCCAGTTTGCCTAAATTGAAATTATTCGATTTTCTTCATAAATAATAACTCAAAGTTTTACGCTGGCTTTAAGCCTTCGTACTAGACGCTCGATCACAGCCGCATAAAGCGTTTTATTTGTTGCAAAGGTTTAATTGAATGCTTCTTCATTTCACCAATTTGCAAGCGCTTCTTCACCCGCTTCACAAATTCGCTACGCGGCGAACGCTTCTCTATGCTCGGCTTCCGTTTCTTAACACCGCTGCCATTCACCGATTTAAGTTTAGTTGGATATTCGTAAATGAAACAATTCATACGATACACAGGTGTGAATTTAATTGAACTTTGATCGTCCTCATTGGCGCGATTCACTTTTTCATGTTTCACTTGGGCATCACACACTCTCGCTTCCGTTGCTATTGCATTTGGCATTTCCTCTTGCGGCAGTGTTGACTGCAAAAAGAGGCTCATGGCGCGATTGTAATCGTAGCGTATGTAGAATGTTATGTTGGGGTTCGGGAAGAGCGTGAGAAAATAATCAAACTGTTGTTTTTCGAATATTCTGCCGTTTTCAGTGGATATCAGCAGCGCTGCCTCATGTGCGGGCGGTATATTGAAGCGTTGAATAACTAGTGGGTTGTAAAGAAAAATTCAAATGAAAAATATTTATTTGTATTTATTTATGCACATTCATTTAACTCACTCAACTTGATGATCTGCTCGTACCGATTCGTTGCCTCATAATTTATATTAGTTATTTGCTTGCGATAGCAGACTTTTATATTGCCATGCTCTGCCATTTTTCTCTGGGCTTTATTTGAATTCGAAGAACAGTTAATGGAGTTTTGTTTGTAAATTTTGCGCGTCTATGCCATAAATACAATTCAGCTGTCTGTGTACGTGCGCTCACTTTAACGTCTGGATTTGTTTTGAACTGGCAAATGGCAGTCAGCAAGTTTCTTTACTCGCATGCAGACCAGGTGAACAGGGATGCGCCAGTAGGTAAAAGCCTGGCTGCGGAGAGCAAAAATATTGCATGATTTACTCTCTCACTACTTCGTCCTAGTTCTCGCGACAAATGCAGTCGAATCCTCCCTCGGAAATCGCAACAACAAATTTATACAGCGAGTATACAGCCCGTGGCGATGTTTACTGCATGGTACGTGCTCACTGTCTGGCGCTTATTTTGAAAATGAAAAGATAGTGGCGGCAAAAATTTCAATTGGAGATAATTCATTAAATGCAACAATTGAAACCAGTTGGACACTGTAAAAATTTGGCGTAATATTAAAAAAAATTAAATTAAATTAAATTTAAAAAAAAAATAAAATAAAATAAAATGAAAGATATATGTACTTAAAATTAAAATTAAAAAATTAAAATAAAATAAAGTAGAATAAACTAAAATAAATAAACTCAAATAAAATAAGAAGCTAAAAAAATCTAATATAACATACAAAAAAATTAAATTAGTTTAATTTAATATGAATGCAACAAAATGAAATAAAATTTAAGAAATAAATAAAAAAATAATAAAACAAATATAAAATAAAATAAAATTAATTAAAATTAAATTAAAAAACAAAACAAAATAAAATGAATAGATTAAAATTAAATTAAACAGAACAAAAAAATAAAATAAATTAATCAAAATAAAATCAATATAACAAAATTAAATTATATTAATTTAAACTAAATACAACAAAATAAAATTAAGGAATCAAAATTATATAAAATAAAACAAAAAAAACGAAATAAACCAAAATAAATAAAAAAAAATTAATTAAAATAAAATAAAGGAACATAAAAAAAAAAACAAAATTAAATTTAACTTAACCAAAAAAAAAAAAAAAAGAAATGAAATAAAATATAATAGATTCATTAAAATAAATTCATTAAAATGAAATCAAAACAAATTTTAGAAAATAAAATAAAATGAAAAAAAATAAAACAAAATCAATTAAAATAGAACAATATAAAACAAAAAATAATAAAATAAAATAAAACAAAAAATAAATAAAATCAAACAAAATTAAATTCAAGAAAATAAAATAAAACAAAATTAAAAAATGAAATCAAATAAAATTAAATTTTAGAAAATAAAATAAAAAAATAAAATAAAATAAAATAAAATAAAATAAAATATAATAATAAAAAATAAAATAAAATAAAATAAAATAAANCTAAAATAAAATAAAATAAAACAAAGCAAAATGAAGTAAAATAAAAAAATAAAACGTTAGAATATTTAGGAAATAAAATAAAATAGCAAACAAAATAAATAAAACAAACGAAAATATTAAACAAAATAAAAGTGATTAAAATAAAGTTAAATAAAAACCAATATAATAAAAAAGGTAAAATGAAATGAAATAAAATACTATAAGAAAAATATAATAAAAACTAAACGAAATGAATTGAAGTTATTTTATGTAATTTTCATATGGAAATAAAGTAAAGTAAAATGAAATGAAACTTATCAAAATAAAAAAATAAAAAGAGATTTAATATACATATGTACATATGTATAAAAAACATAATATCCAAATATTTTTTTTCATTGTATAGCGTTTTGAAGGTAAAATGAAATGAAATAAAATACTATAAGAAAAATATAATAAAAACTAAACGAAATGAATTGAAGTTATTTTATGTAATTTTTATCTGAAAAATAAAGTAAAGTAAAATGAAATGAAACTTATCAAAATAAAAAAATAAAAAAAGATTTAATATATATACATAGATATGTATAAAAAATATAAAATCCAAATATTTATTTTTTTCATTGTATAGCGTTTTGATCTGGTTGACGTCACTAACAATAAGGGAACTTCATTCAATTATTAACTTGGTGAGTGCCAAGTGAAACAAATGAATCAGCTCAGGCAGCTGCATGCTACAACGCAACATTGCTCAGGCGAGCATGCTCTATTTGGGGCTCTCCTTTAGAATATCGTTTTTATTTTCGCTCTCTCCGTTTGCCAGGCATGTAGTTGCATGTTCGTTCATGATGGTTTTTTGTTTTGGTTTTTCTACACTGTGTCAGCCGTTACGAAATACATACATACATACATATATTTGTACATATGCACATATTGTATGTGTCATTATCACTTTACAACTAGCAAAACAGATTATGTGGGCATACGAATGAAAATACATACATACATATTTACGTGTATGTATGGTTGTGTGTCTATATGTGTGTATGTATGTATGTATTTACTTCTATTAAGCAAAAAGCCCCATAATATTCTATATAAATCAACACTGACTTTCCAAAATTTGGCGACTTGAGATGGTATTTTGAATGTCATTCACTCTTGATATTAGTTCTCCGATGTTTCGAAAGACATCGTGCTATACACTCAACCTATTCTGTCTTACTTTGCTTCTGGCGTCGATATCTTAGCGGACTAGATTCTTCGTCAATAGGCATTCAATACAAAGCTGCTAAGTTTTCTTTCATTTATAGCTATTAGCTACCGGTTTCTGATTCACACTGTCCCACAGAGTTATTTGGTGGTTTCACTAACCTTAAAATTAAGCTGGGTTTCCTCTATGTTCCACCGTTTTAAAAATAATTGTAGACGCTAAACAATTTGAGGCAGTAAATGGTCAAAACCAAACCTCTTTAGGATCTTACCTTGACTTAATTGCCATGAGATGGCCACCGATCCCGATTTTCATAAGAAAAATTTTATGAGCGACGAAGCGCACTGTTGGAAATTATCGCATTTGGAGTAATAATAACCAACAAGCTATTGTCGAGATGCTGTTACATACTGTTTGGTGTGCTCTATGGGCAGTGAATCATTGGTCTGTATTTCTTCAAATATGAAGCCGACCATAATGTTGCAGTCAATGTGAAACACTATAGAGCCATGATTAATAACTTTTTGTGCCTGAATTGAAGGATGGTGATGTGGACGTCCTTATATATGCTATACAGCCAACCAATATTTTTTGAGAGGTCAGGTGAAGTCGCTTGTCTTGTCGCTGATAAACTCAAGACGATTTGTGCCTTGGACGCTTTATTGTTGACTTACACCTCCAAAAAGTGGTCGAAAAATGTTACTCCCGGCTGGAGTTTATTCAAGCCATTCGCGTTGGTCATTTGTACGAAACCCTTATCCTTATAATAAGCTTAATTCTTGGCAATACCATTAAATTATATACGTTTAACAAATCACACGGCTAAAAACACCCTTGAGTCTGATCTTGCCCTGAAGGAAAATTGTTTTGATTGGTGAGCAAGGGTTGGAATTTTGGAAACTTTTTAATCAAGAATGTTTATTTCACTGAAAATTGCTGTGTACAGAAAAAAATTCGGCTTAGTACAGAATATCTAATATTTCCTTACAGTAAAAAGCTTTTGAAACGAAGTTGTCTACGCGAGGAGCGTAAATCCTTGCATAACTTTGGGTGCTGGCTAATTGCTTCCTGTTATTTGGGTTTTTGCATGCATCATTCTTTGCAATGGAATTTACCTTCGTGAGGTCCAGATCAGATATCTAATTATCTGATCTGCTTTGCGTCTTCCCATCCCTGCTCAATTTAGTTGAGTGGGATGCGATTGGCGTCTGTGCAGCGTCAATTGCCTCCTATGACATTGGGTAAAGGCCACGTATTTTTGAAACGAGCCTAGTGCTCAACTTGAATACATTCAAACGTTCTCCCCCACCCGCTTCGACAGAAGTAATAGCAGGATGTGTTCTGAGTAAATATCTAATGAACTAAAACTGTCCTACTTAACTGACTGAAGATTCATAAGGAGGAATGTGCTATTTGAGTGGGAGATAGATAGATAGAGAAAGGGTGGGAAATAAGTACATACGCACATATGTATGTAGTTCTCAGTATACTCTCGCCATTTGCTCTATATTAGTAGCTCGCGCTGTATCAAAATCTTTAAATTATATTTACACCGATTGTATGCCCGTCCGGCTGTATGTTTTCTTGTATCTCAGTTTTTGAAATTCTTCAACCAAACTTGCTACTTGCATACATATACACACTGTGACAGCTAGATCAGGCCATCATAGCATATGTACGACTGAATATTCCCGCGGAAATTCTCCGTTGCGGATTTAGAAATCCCCTAAGAAAATGACTTTTTCGCTTTCGAAATCAGCTGCTTAGTATGATTGTCATTTGATGATTTGATGGAATAAACAATTATTGAAAACAAAAATTGAATTAGAATTATGGGTATGTATGTATGTATATCTATTGGCTGCTGTAGCAAATGTGAACGAACTGCAACGAACTCTTCTTCAACGTAGGTAGATCAAGATCGGGCAGATATCTTCGTCGCTTGGCAAGGTCTCTTGCTCCTGCAATGCAAAATTTCTTATTGGCAACCATTTCACCGACTCTTTCGTCCCTACGGGTGTGGCTATGCATTAGGGCCACCTACTGTCGTGTTTTCTGTGCATTCAAGTTTTGAGCCTTCTCACATTCCTTAAAATTTTTTACATGCGGATCCGCGGTATTTAGTTCGTTATTCACCTTCTACAAAATTGGTTGAACTCCTCCCTATTGCTCTTTAAAATTCCTCGGGCTATAGTCGGTTGTGTTTCCATCCGCTCTATTAGCAACTGCAACTGCACTTTACTCGCTGTTTTTGACCTAAAGAAACCATGAATACGAATATTTGTGTTATATTTATTAAATACTTTTTTTTATTAAACTTTTTTTATAAAAACTCCCACACAACTTAATGTGGAAAAAGTATCTCGGAATATTGAAAGATCCGAATTTTTTTTTTGCATTGGTCATGGATCCACTGGGAATTTTTCCCCATTTTCGAAGTTTGCTCAGAAGACAAGCGAAAGGGAAAAGAGGAAAAATCCGAAAGTTTTTTTATTTACGATAGGAGAAGAGGGCAAGGTGAGAAATCTCCCGGGAAATTTTCATTTAAAATAGTGCTGATAATTTATTACACATTTGTACTGAAAATTATCGAAAACGGACGAGTGTAATATATAGAACCCATACAACGATTTGTGCCGATATGAGGGTTTGGGTAGAAAATCGGTCAAAAAATAATAGAGTTATTCACTTAGTCTAGAAAATTCATGCTATGAAAATGAGTACTGTGAAAATTTGTTAGAAAAGAAAAACACGCGCGTTGCAAAGATTGCGGCAAATTCACAGCAAAAACAAAAATTATGTTTCTTACGCAAGGTTGATTTTTTCTACATGCGAACTCTGAGAAAAAATATAGTAAATTTATTATTATTATTTTTTAAATAGATGCCGTTATTTATCTGTATCTCGCATACCAATATGTACTATACATATGTACTATGTATGTATGTAAGTTTGAGTGTAGGATGTTTTTATGCTGCCCCTAATGTCATAGCGGGATATTAAACACGATTGTATATATAAAGACCCCGCTTTGGTCGAAGGTCCATCATATTTCTTGTTTTTATTTGGGTTTAAGCTTGCCGCCCTTGCCTGCTTGCCAATTCGAATTTTCGTATATTTGAGAATCTGCAATAAAATAAAAAAAGAGTGGAGAAAAGCCTTTCACGATTAACGAAATGTTAAATTTTTAATTTTTTCTCGTTACTGAGGGAACATGAGTGTTCATGAGGTCAGACCTTTTGAGATAAAGAATTTTTTTGTTTTTTTTTTTTAATTAAAATTAAATTTATTGAAAATGATGACTGTGATTTGAATTAATAATTATCTTAATAAATAAAATCTCTAGGAGTATACATACATACATACATACGAGTATGTCATATGTACATATGTACGTTTGTGGTATTTTTCAGCCTTTTCACTTGACTTTTAGTTGAGGAGCATATAGTATACGTGTAGGTACCTCGCTCCTTATTGCCACAAATCTACTGCTGTGTTGTTGGCAAGAAATCGATGAACGATTTTGTGCGATGTAGCGGTGAGAAGATCGACAACTGCATCGTTGATGTTACAAAACTTTCCATAGAATCGTTTAGAACTTCCACACCACTCGAGCGCTTCGTTAGTTTCGCTGTGGTAAGTGTATCCGCAGGGTAAGTGCAGATAAAAGAAGCAGTGCGATGTAGTGCGCCCTCTACAATGGTGTTAAACTGTGCTGGTATAACTCTAGTAGTATTCAGAGAGTCACAGAAACGTACACGCTTGGCCGGTGGTGGGTAAGTGCCACTAAAACATTTCATGCGGAAAACCGGTGTCCATGGACAGACAGAATCGTGCATCATGATATCATCATTATCATAACTACGCTGACGTTTGTTGTTTGTGGGCGGTGTAGCGGTAGTTGGAGTGTCAATTTTCGCATCCTCTAATGATGTTTTACTCACTGTCCTTCTTACCGTTAAATCGTTTTTGCTCACCTTTTCCACATAAAAGGTTTTTCTAGGATCTGGAAAGTATGTCAGATATTTGTTGATTTGGCGTTTGGTGTAAGCTTTTCCCGTCATGTCCGTGAGCACTAGTGCATGTTGCTGACTGCGTGGTATCCTGAGCTCTCGCATGACTGAAAAGAAGTAGAAAATTAAAGAAAAATTGATTTAAAAATGTTTTATGTTATTTTTTTTTTTACTTTAATAAATGTACTTACTTGTCCGCAGAATTTGTTTGGCTGTGGTGCCAAATGTATAGCGTATAAGTTGACGGTTGCCTTGATAATAAACCGCTAAAATACGACGTTGAGACATTTGGAAATTGAAAAAGTGATCGGTTTATTTAGGATTTATTTCAATTATTATTTTTATTTTATATAAATATTTAGCAAGCGCTATTATATGTATGTATGTATATATGCACGTCTGTTTCTCAACTGTGTACATTTAGTACTGATTCTAGGAATATGCAAACGCTCGGCTTATATAGCCGCAAATCTTGAAGTTTCTTCTTTCGTAGCATATTTTGAAGCTAAGCCAATACATATTTCAAGGACGTAAATACATATGTACATACATACAAGTGTACGTACGTTTTTTGTTTTTGTATTTAGGTAATTTTTACAATGCGGCTAAAACTTTTCTTACGACCCTCGTCGTGGGAACTCAATTCATGAACATGTTCTGTTTTGTTATCTTCTGCTGATACATATTTTGTAAACAAGTGATTATCCTTGCTTCGAAAACAAAAAAAAAAATATTTATTAATACATATATGCATATCTTAAAGTTAATATACATACATGTACACATACATACATACACACATACATACATACATACATACATAAGTGTTTAAACCAACCATTACAGGCCTTGAATATAAATCCTTGTTTTCTAAATTTACATATGTATGTACGTATGTATGTATGTATGTATGTTAAAGAATTTAACATTTACATTCACGAATACATATGTATGTATGTAAGTGTGCATGAATAAATATTTTAATTTAAAACCGATCTTATCACTTTTACAAAAAAAAAAAAATTGTGATCTGGAAACCTCAACAATAATCTTGATGAATGTCAATATTTTTTATTAAATTAAATTCATTGTGAGCACAAATTAATTTGGTGTGTTTTTTTGTGTTCAGAAAAATATTCTTTATTTAAACAAAGCAAAAATTTCCATCACATAAAATGTTGTCCGTCGGAAGCGACTACTTGTTCCCACCTCTCTCTATCTCTCTCTCTATCTCTATCTCTATCTCTTTCTCTATCTCTATCTCTATCTCTATCTCTATCTTCTCTATCTCTATCTCTATCTCTATCTCTATCTCTATCTCTATCTCTGTCTTCCTCTGTAAATCGAGCAGATTTCTTCGTGCATCCCAGTTGATTATTTAATATTTGCGATACAACCACGGCATTCGAGCTCAATTATCGTTAATTTTGGACTACGTCAGAGCTACAGTGACGTCATCAGTGGAAGATTTTGGTCGACTTCCTCGGGGCTCATCCCCCACGGAAAAATGGTCTGGAATCCTCTGAACCACTTAGCAATAGTCTTTAAAGACGATGCAATCGTTCCATTTGCAATTTGGCATTCACTGAATATTTGTATTCGCTGTAGATTACGCCGTAACCCAAAGAGAATCACAGGGTGGATTTCTGTTTGCATTAATGATAGAATTTCGTCTGACCTATCCTCAGCTAACTTGCGTTTTCTCATCTCCATGGTAGTTGATCGTTTTAAAATTTGCTAGGAATACTAACAAAGTAATTGCAAAAAGATTGGCATTTTAAGATTTTACAAAAACAAATTCAAAGTCACCAACTGACCGAACTTTTGTTCATTCACTCGTATTTCGCCCAGTGCTCTGTAGGCAGAGGCTACATTTAATTTGCACCAAAAAGCTGCAGGACCTTCAATTAGCAATTGCTAAAGGGTTAAAGAGAACAGCAAACTAGGTGCACAACAAATGGTGGAGTTGAAGTAATGTAACTACTAACACTATTGACGCAGTATCATCTAAGTGAGACCAGTTCTAAGTGACTTAATCAAGTTCTAAAATCGTATATTCGGCTAAGATGTCTTGCCATTGAGGTCTCTTAGCTATTTTAAACCAATCTTATTTCTTTCTCTTTCCCTCTCATACACAGCAAGAGGAGTTCTCTGGTGCGCCCGTACAATGTCTCATACCAGGCACAAATCAGTGGGCTTTACTCGGTGTATCATCATGGCGTATAGCATGTGGACCAAGTGGAGTTGAACGACCCAGAATGTATGATAAGATCACATCAAATGCCGCATGGATAAGGGAAATATTAAGTGCAGCGTAGGCATGAGGCAGTGAAGACACAAAAGCAAAAAGCAAAAAGCAAAAAAAAAAAAAAGAAATATAAAATATATTAAATTAAATTAATAATGATTGTAAGAAGCTATAAGTATATAATAATATGTAATAATGTTAATAGTTTTTAAAAACAATTTCGATTGAATACTTACTCAAAAACTTTAGTGCATGTACATACATATATATTGTAAATTAATTGAGCAAACGTCTTTGCTGAAAAGTGTGTATTTTAGTTTATTATATTTTTGTGTTTTATTTTTATTTTTTAATTTTATCTTTTAGTTTTAACATTAACGAATTTAAGTTTAAGGGTGTGTGTGTGTGTGTGTGTTTTAAAAAATATGTGTGCTGTACAAAATTAAAAAAAAATAATAATTAAAAATTAGTGTATTAACTGTTATTTTCATTTCAGTTTTAAATTTTATGTAATACGAAAACAATTATTTTTAACTCGCTTATGGAAAATTCAAGCAGCATTTTGTGTAATATCATAACTATTTGTGCATGTTTGTATGTGTATGTTGATTAACGATATTTTTGTATTTTTAATACTTTTCATACTAAATAACTGTTCATTTTTTTCTTAAATTATACAATTAAAATGAGCACATAATCATGTAATGTTGGCGAAATATGTTCATTTACAATAACTTGTTATGTTATGCATATTTTTAACAATAAATTAATGTACTTATTATTATTATTGTTTAATTTTTATTTTTTTTTTAATTTTTTTTATTAATTTTTATACTTTTTATTTTTATTTCCAAGATTATCGATTTTGGAGAAAGTCTAACAAATTGTTAAATGAGAAAAATTAAAAAAAACAATCGGACACATGAATTTGAATTTGAGTTTTTCGGCTACGTTTTTAGTTTAACTTTATTCTCTTTATTGTTGCCCCCTGACAGATCTTTTTTTTTTTTCAAAACTCCTCATAAAAGATATGACTTTGTTTTCAAACATTACGTTCAGAGAAATATCTATCAAAACGACTGATTTTAATGCCTTTTTTTAAAACGAAACAAGGAAAATAGAAACAGAAAATATAAAAATATTTTATTCATTACTTTCAGACGATCTGAAAGAAGATCTTTAGCGCTCTAATTTACATTTACAAATTATCAACAACTACCAAAAAGACCGTGTTATTTGAACACAAAAATATCTCAGAAACTGTTTTTTTACAGACCAAAAAAATTCCATATATAGGGTAATCCACTTCCTGGTTCCGAAAGTTCAAGGCTGTTAAGCCAAACGTGTTTTGTTTTGAAAATACAATTAGTCAAGTTATGAGCTGAGATACCGCCCAATATGTGTCAAAAAGTGGTCGAAAGTTACCTGAAACGGTTGGAAGCTTTGCAAACGTTCGCGAAGCTATAATTTTAATTATGTAGTGTCTCGTATCTAATGCCAAGTTTCACATTTTTTAATACAAAATGAACCACATGACGTTTATTTTCGAAAATGCAAAAGGGATAACCCTGTACCATTCAAAATTAAGTTTTCTTATCTTTATAACTACTGTAACTGGAGGAATATTTTCCAATTTGTTATTCGGGGAATATTGCGGTCGTCAGAGGTCGGTATTAAGACTCAACTGTCGACAAAACTATTAGCTTTTAGTTGCGTTTTACGACAGGCATGTTTACAAATTCAGGACAAATTCCTTGGGGTTTGTCTGGTTAAATCGAAAGTTGAAATTTGTTATTTAGTTTTATGTTACCAAAAAAAACGATCAGAGAACTTTTAATAATGAGAAGTGAAAATGGTTTTCTGTGTTTTGTTCGAACTGTCCTTCGTACTGGCGTTAGGAAAAACGGGAATGGAATTCAACACACTGTTAAACTTGCTAACAGAATTTGTTAATTTAATATAAGGGGAAAATGTTAAAAGAAATAAAACCCGAGAAATTTTATTCGTAAGGAAGTAAAGTGATGCGTTAATTTTTTACATCATTTCCATAATTTTTTTTTTAATATATAAAGATAATAATAATACATAAATTTTAAGTAAAACGAATTTTTTATTCTTGTTTCTTTTATTATGTTTTATTTATAAAAAATTAAAAAAAAAAATTTGTAAATATAAAATAAATAGGTATAAAACAATATAAGAAATTATAAAATAATATGGGCAATTTAGCGAATGCCTGAAAGTATGCTATAAAATTTTGCCGTGGTTACTCTTTCGTCATATATTCCTTTTAATTTGTGAAATACATGGCAACACTAATGCTTTCGTAAGAAATGTCAATGATAATGTAGAACAAGTTGACAACCAAATTGGTCAGAGATTGGTGAATAGTAAAAAAATCGTAGTAAAAGAAAAATATCGTGATTGGTTGCCGAAATTGCCTTCTGCGGCTAAAATGATTTCATTTAGCATAAATAAATTGTATATATTATTAAAAATGTAAAGCGTTAAGAACTTGTGAAAACTAACAAGAGGCAACCGAAGTGATTTCTTGATATAAAAAGGGGTGGAAGAGCAAAGCAGCATAAGCAAACATGACATCTATATTGGATATGAAGTCCGGTCCGCCCGATTATTGGGCGGATATTTACAACTTCTTTTTGCCGCTTAAATACTTCATAATCAACGAACGCTTCGATGCATTAATGCAGCATGTGGACTTGAATTATTTGCTAAACGCCTTGTTTTGGATATTTCTCGCTTTCGCCGTAGGTTTTATTGGATTCTATAAAATATTTGAGGTAGGCTATAAAAAGGCGTACGGGAACTGTATAAAGGAATTTTTACTTGTGCATACATATGTGTGTGTGTATATGTGTGTAAGCATGCCATTGAGCAGCCTACATGCATGTGCACCTGGTGCATTGCAATTTTTTGTAGCAGCTAAAAATAGCATGGGAGATTTTTTGTTTTATTTTGTTTCTTTTCTATTCACCTTGTTTTCCTGGTTTTGTTTTGTTTTGCTTACCTAGTTTCCACCGCATACACACATACATACATAAGTACGATGGTAAAAGCGCCGCAATCAGCTGTTTGATGTTTGATGCTGCTTTTACCGGCATCACACGAGCAGTGCGGTCAACGCAAACAGCTGATGTGGAGGTCATTGGATTTGTAGATGCCAGATGGTGATTGAATTTAAAAATTTTGGGCTGTTTGATTTTGAATATGTTTTTATTTTATGACAAATATTGACTTTAATAAATTTTCATTTTCCTTTTACAGGTTTTCCTAAAAACATCCAATATAAAGTTCTACAAGCGCAAGCAATTTGCACGCTCTGTTTGGAATATCTCATTTTATGCCGCTTGCACGCTCTTCTTATATTTCTACAATGAATTCATGTTATTGCCGCAATTGTCGAAGAACCAAGGACGCTATTCATTATTTTATTCGTCGGAGAATATGATTTTTTATAAATCACAACAATGTGAAAAATTTCAATTCTATTCACTCTTCATAATAACATTTTATCTACATAATGCTATTTTGGATTTCAAGGAGTCTGATTATCTAGAGGCTTGTTCAAAGACGCTTTATCTACTGGCCTTAGTGGCAATTGATGTGTATAAGTATGCTGATGGATTTGAATTGAAATCGAAAGGGAGAGCGTGAAATGAATTTTATTTTCTAGTTTCACTTAAAGTTGTGTGAAATGCTTATAAAATCACTTTGCGCTACCTCCTTTATGAGTTTCATCTGCACAAAAAATTTAAATTAATTTAAATACCCTTCTTTTTCAGATACGAAAACTATTTCGTTGGTTTGAATCTCAGCTTAGGAGTCTACAATATACTTACGGAATCACTTTTCCTGCTTGCTTTGATCAATTCGAAGGGCAGCCGCTTGTTGTTTCAAGTATTTTTGGGTCTACGCATAGCCTCGTGGTATGTACATATGCAGATGTTAGGCAGGTACTTATTAAAACCGTTTATAAATGAAAAAAATAGTGCGTTTTCTGGCTTAGATCTGTAGGAGAGAGTTTGGAAATTGCCAAATTTTGGCTTTGCTTCGCCGTTTATTATTCACTGCATATGCACAGTGGTAGCGTAGACATTATTTTCTACGACGTCACCGTTTGGTGGTATGCAGAAGTTAAAATAATTTTAAGGAGAAAACTAGACAGAGTTTAGCGATCCACAAGCGTCACGAAGGCACCTGAAACTTTTTTCTCTAAATCTCTCCCGCGAATTTAAAGCGAGCTGCTACTCAGTTAGACTGAACGCAACTTAGCCTTAGAGAGGCCGAGGTATGGAGCACTCCTGGATACTATATTTCCTCTAAAAAAAATGTAAAATTTCACAAAGATCTCGGAAAAAACGAATGGGAAAACCTAAATGTCCTAGATCAAGGAGCAATAACCATTTTCTTGTTACTCTAAATCAGTTTGATTATGAGCGGCTAATTAAATCTACACCCACCAACGTATCCATCACTATATTCGCAGATAGCCAAGCAGCCACCAGATATTTTCAATACAATTTAACCACGTCAAAAGTGGCATTAAAATGTAGAAATATTGTTAATAGACTCTCGTCAAAATGCAGCGCTACCATCAACTGGGTTTCCGTGCCTAGAAATAAACCGTGCAACTGCGCGGCGGACGAGCTTGCGAGAAAAGGAACCACCTTACCTAAAATGAACTCTGCACACGATGCGGGTATAACTCTTTCCACGGTCAAATATTTGCTAAGAGTAGAATTTACAGATCATGTCGTCCGAATGGATGAAAACACTCCAGCTTTGAAAGTTTTCGATGCAGTGAAGATGAAAACCTCCACTCCGTTGGAAGGATCAGGTAGAGAGTGACATGGTTTCACTTGGTATTTCCAACTGGCGCCAGACAGCGAAAAGTAGTAATAAATGGCGTAGTGATATTGCTTCGGCTATAATCGTCTAAGCGGTACCAACGCCAATAAAGAAGAAAAAGAAGATTTTACAGAATATTCCAATAACAGATAGCGTAATGAAACCATGTGTAATGAAACAAGATATATTTAACCAGCGCCCGACGCAAAAAGGTCAAGGAATTTACTTCTTTTGGACCGATGCTCATTTAGTCTCACAATTAGTAAAATAACGAGAGGCTACTTCAAGGTACTCATGGTAAAATAATGAAATGTTTCCCAGACGACTTTTGTCCCAGCTGCAGGGGTGTGAAAGAGAAAGAGGCTGTCCTGAATGCAATAAGTCCCCACACGACACTAACCACCTCTTGGCATGCTCCTTAAAACCTTTTTGCTGGACCGCCCGTCAGAAGACCCCGATGATTTAGACTGATCTTGACCGCTGTCTGCCTACAAAACAGCAACAACAACAATAACAGTAAGTGTCTGTCGCATACAACGTCTGTCACAATGCGACTTGTTGCAACATGGTAGCAGTGTATAGAGAAAAAAATTATTCCAACTGTTTCGATGAGCTAGCCACAGGCTGCTTAAAAAATCGCATGGCATATAACAGATGCTTTAAATGGCTCGCGCTCTTGAGAAGGATCTAGGAACCTCACAAGCGGTAACAGAATGGGCCAAAAGTTGTGTGGCAACATCAACTAAACTCAACTAAGCTCAACTCTTTGTCGTGTAGAATCGTTCACTTGCTTAATTCATAGCTTTATCCGAGTCTTATTAATTTTTTATTTACCACAAATCGCTTTCGCGGTTACAAAGCGCCAGTTATATGTGTACATATATGCATTTTATTATATTTTATGTTATCTTGCAGTAATACAATTCAAATGTTTTCTTTTGCAGGTCTCACGTTTTCATCAGTTTAATACCATTTAAATATTTAGTTCCTACGCTATTTGCCAAAAATTTTAAAATAATGTTAAATGTTGCTATTTGGCTGTGGTACGGTCTATCCATTTGGAATTCGCCGGTACTACAGTATTTCTATCATCAAATATATCACTCTTCACCGCTTGATTGTTCGGGCGAGGGATCGGCAGCAAAGTGAGTTTGAATTTTTCGAATAAAAAGAAAAAAAAAACAAAAAAAGACAAAACTAAATAAAAATACTTCCTCCTCACCGCAGATGCATCCTACTTAAAGACTCTAGTGAACATCGTCACTTTAAAACACTCAAGAAAGCGTATATGGAAGTGAAATTAGCGCAAGAAAAATTGAAAATTAGTTCGTTGGCGAACTCAACTGGTTCGGAGAGCTCGTGCACATCAGCCAAAGCCTTTCAGGCTATTAAATGTAAGTTTCCATTATAACAAATGAAGTTTTTAAACAAAATAATTTACTGTATTTTCTTTCTCAGGCATAATGACTTTAAAGCGTAAATTGAAACGTATACGCGAGGGTCGCGGTTCAGAGATGGAAAATGATACCGAAGATATGAATAATGAATAGAACCGAATATGCGTTGAATTGACCGTTATATGTATGCCTAACCCAAGAGACTTTATTTAGATAATATAGAAAAAAGTAACCTTCTACATACATAAATATATAAATTCAATTTAATTTTTAATCTTCCATCGAGACTCCAATGTTATTGAATACTTCTGTATTTACTCCAACTCTCTATTTTTATTATCTATCTCATTATAATACTAATATGACACTTTTCCAATATTTTAGAATTTACAACATTTTATTCAAAATTTTTCTCGGTGTGCGTGGGAAACTTTTTTAATGTTAAAAAAAAATTATCAAAAAGACATTTTTAGCGTCGAGCGAGTGCTCTCTGTTAGTTTTACCGTTCTTTATAAAATTTAAATACACATTATTATTATTGTTATTAACGAAAACGTCGCTGAACCTAAAAAAATAGTATATATAGACATACATAGCTATATATAATATGACGATATAACTTATGTAAGCGAATAAATTTATGTTTGACTGTTGCATGTTGAGAAAGAATTTTATTACTCCTGCGTTGGTGGCAAAAAAGAAAAAGAAAGAAATCATGAAAATTTGTCAAATACTTAAAGGAAGATTTATTTTGTTAGTCGACATTCCCTTTAGCGCTCATTTCATAATGCGATCAAGAAACGAAAGCAATGGATTTGTCCATAGCTTTTGGCACACCCAATCACGCAGTGATATTGTCGCACATCGAGCTTTCTGTCTTATAGAGCTGAAACATGAATAACGTGAGTGGTCGGCAGTTATCGGTAGAATTTCGATGCTCTAACTCGTAAGTTTATGAATAATAAACAAGAGGCTCCGCCGGATGGTGTCCTCTTTGAAGTTCCCTTTACCGTCAGACGGTGTCTCTTTGATTACAAATAGCGATTACTGCAATATATTGGGGACCAGCCTCTGTTGAAAAACTGCTATCTCTCTTTTCCCACATCTTCACTGCATGACATTTACAATTTTCGCATTGGGCGAGATCCTTGCCGACTCTTTTCATCTGCTGAACGAAGTATGTATATCTGCAAGTCAAAGTGGAGTAGGTCAAAATACATACTGTTAACGACTCAATGTAACTGAAACTGACATTCGACAGCCATCACTACTCATACAACCGCAACTAACAGGCTATTGATCGGTTAGACGCAGATGATGAAGTTACAACCCTGCCAGAATCTCAGCTTGAGGACCATATAAGGATATTGAAAAAGAGAAATCAAAGCTGTCAGTTAAGAAGCGTAATGTTGTGCTTTGCAAGCAGAACCAGTTTTGATACTACCACTGGAATCACCCTTACAGACATCTGCTTGGAACAGGAAACGTTCTGCAGGCACTATAGGACGGAAAGTTTTTGGCTGGACAGACGCGTCCTGCTAACGACAGGTCTCATACACCATTCACAAAGAGTCGGTCAACAATTTTCCAGCAAATAGTAGCATAGTTGTTCACCTATAACCCAAAAATACGTGAGACCCGTTAGATTAAGGGACACCTAATGTCTGGATACCTAATCAGACAAGACCTCGACATAATCAACTTCTGAATAAAATGAGCCATCGCACGATACTGACAGAAGTTTGCGTGTGCCAGGATCTATAGAATGACTTTGTCTCATTTGTCTCTTGTAGTATTAACGGAAGAGATTGTCTTTTGGTAAATTCTATCGAGTTATAACGGTGTGTAGTTCTACTCGAGGGTATACAGTTACAGCTTTGAGGCTATACCCAATCCTTAGCAACGCTTATACGAGTTCCGGTAATCAAACAGTGCGGAGGCCTGGGCTTAGCAGAATCCTTTCGCTGTCAGTTCACAAGAGGTGCGGCTGTAAGTGGGGTCGGTCTTGCTTGTAGTGAAGGACGATGTGACCAAAGACGTCTTTCATGAGCGCGTGGATCATAAGCACTTATGAGTGCATGCGCACACGGGTTGAGGCCGATCGACTTTCTCGGGCCTGACTTAAATTAAAATTTTATAAAAACGCCCAAAATCTAAAATATTGTTTGCGGTCGCATTAGCCAAGTGGAGTTCCAAATAGACAAAATTATCTATAATATCAAAGTTATGACATTCTACAGTGACATGGGAGCTGATTCGGGAATGCGATGGAAGGAGATACCTAAATATTCCAGGTTTTCGTCTTTTACTACTCCATTAGATTCCCTACCTTACTAAGCTGTGCACTCTTTTCTATTCAGTTCTGCAGCTCAAGATTAATAAGAAATCACTTACTCTGAGACTTCGATTAGTATCGGATGATATGGAGAGGTTTTGCCCGGTCGTGACGGAGTTTCCAGTGTTGTTTAATCTCAGTTAAGTTTTGCGGGGATACCAAATTCTGTGCCAGGGCAGCTTTAAAATCGACGAAGAGATGGTGTGTGTCGATCTTTTTTGCACGGCCCTTTTCATGGCATGGAATATCTGGTCAATTGTGGGCTTACCAGGTCTGAAGCCATACTGATAAGGCCCCATCAGTCCAATTCGAAGACGAGTGTCACATGAGTTAACAAGAAAATACTTCGTGGAGTGATTTTTATACTACGAATCTTTACTGAATCGACCCGTTAATTCGTCCATACGAAGAAAGCAATCGATCTGAAGCGCCCAGTTTTGGCCAACAGGAGCGGAATTGTGTTTCATGAAGACGACGCCAGACCATATATATTAATAGTGGCTCGCATTATAGTCCGGACCTCGCGCACTGTGTGCCTGTGTATGGCAAACGATTTGAGTGGTTAAGAATTGACTTCAAGGGAAGTCTATCAATATAAACAAGGGTTGCTATGAATGGGGGATTATGATATTACTTTCTGAATGGCAAAAAGCTGTCAAGCAAAACGGTGCATATTTGACATAATGGATAACTTTTTACTAGACCTTATATAAAAATCTTGCATTAGTTGGCAAGGATCCGCAAATCGCCAAATTTTGTCAGATTGTTTCTATAGTTTCTGAAATGCTTTAAACGAACAAATTTTTTCGGCAAGTGGAACAGAAACTGATTTATGCGATTCTCCTCCTTGAACTTAGTTTTCTATGAAGTACAATAGAACCGATCAATTTATGGCTCGGTTAGTTACATTTTTGAATAAAAAGCCTGAATGGCACACTTTTGCTTGCTATTTTGATCAAAGACCATGAGCAGTGAGGAAGTGACCCACTTTCAAATAAGCAATTAGATCAATAATTTAATAAAATGGGTAGTACTTTCACTTAGATGCTGCTTAGTAAGGGCTCTCTTTATCGTACTTGACCATGCCGATTTGGATAAAAATTGGAAAAAGTACAAGAAGCCAGAGCTACATTTGGCCGGGTCTGCTGATTTATAACATTATAATGTTGTTTTTTTACTCACCGTTTTTTATTTTTTTGTTATTGTTTTTGGTCTTATAAAGCAGGCAACACGTTTCATGTGTGTTTAAAATTCATTGTTTATTTCGTTTTTTTAAATTTTTCATTCATTTAATTCTCAATTGTTTCATAACTTAGTGCTTAAATTGCATTTAGTTTTGTTTTTGTTTTTGTTTTTGTTTTTCTTTTCTTTTTTTTGTTTCAGTTGCATTTTCCTTAAATATCGATCAACATACTTTGTTAGTTCAACTACTGTTGCTTCTTCTTCTGCTTCTTCTTCTTCTTCTTCTTCTTCCTGTTCTCAACTCAACTGCAACACATTCTTAATTATTTCTTGAGCCTTCAACAACAAACAATATATGTTGCTCTACATACTTACATACAAATAACTGTCGTTTATTACATACACATCTGCATATGAGCTTAGACAAAATTAGTTGCTTGTCTTTTATATGTACTTATGTATATACGTATATGCAAGTATGTATGTGTGTATGTAGGTGATTTTCTCTAAATTCGCCAACATTTAATTTCTCTGCATGAAATTTTATGTTCTTGGTGTTACAATGTAATTTACTGTTATTTTCTATTGGTTTATCTTATACATTTTTTTGCTGAAACATTTTCCTTTGTAATTGCAACTGGTGTAAACTTAGTATAAATCTTATTTAAAACTTAAATGCGCTAAGTGTAAACTTAAGTAGTTGCTTATGCGTAGTTAATTTTAATTTAGTTTTTCTTATTTTTTATTTTTTAATTTCCATTTCATTTTTAACATTTTATAAATTATTTCCTAATATACAATTGTTAATTATTTTCACTTTTTTTTTCGTTTCATTTATTTTTGTTTTTGTATTTCTACTAGAGCGCATTGATTTATTTATTTTTTTTTTTTAATTTTTTACTAGTTTTTGTTGTTATTTTTGTTTTTTTAGTTTAAATTTAATTTTAATTTTAATTTATTTTTCTTCTTCTAGTTACTTAATAAATATGTCTGTTATTTATGTATGTATGTATGTATATATAGAGTTTGAGTTTTAGTTTTTGTTAACATTTTTGCAAGGAATTCCATCCTGTTGTAATATTTTTAATTCACTTAAATTAGTTTTAATTCTTTATTTGGGAATCGTTTCATTTTATTAGCTTTAAAAAAGAATATTTTTTAACAATTTTTGTTTTTAGGTACTGACTTATGTGTAAAATTTTACTAATAATGCATAAGTGAATTTGTTCGTTTTGTGTATAAAATTAGTTAATTACAATTAGTACTAGTTTTAAATTTTTTTTTGTTTACATATGTATTGTATGTATGTATATTTTGCTTAATATCAATTAATTTCCTTGTTTCACTTGTGCTTGTGTTAGTAAATGGCTATTATTTTATTAATAACTTTTAAATGTTTTTTTAATTTTATTATTATTTAATAGTTGTTCTTTTTAATAATTATATTAATATTATAACATTTAATTATTTAACATTTTATTATTTATATTTAATTTTTTTTTTAATTTATTTACAACAATTTTAATTTATTCCCAACAAATTAGTAGTTTTTATACATTTTTGTTTTGCTTAATATGTAATTTGTTATTTAAATATAAATTTTTTTATATATATTATATATATATATACGCAAATGTATTGAATTTCACATAAATTTACTATAATTTAATTTGTGCATTTAATTACCTAAATTCAAATGTCTTTTTCCTTCAATTATTGTATGCCAGTTTAATTCTATTTTCATTTTATAGATATGTGTATAGTGTTGTTAAACTAATAATTTTGCGCGCTTTTTCTTGCAAATTAATTCGGTTTTGGCATATGAAATTATTAAGGAATTATACTCTCATGCAACAATTGCAACAATTATATAATATATATATATATATATATGTATATTTTTCTGGATTCTTCTGGAACGTTAAATATACTCGCCGGGAACACATGCGAATTCATTCTTTTAGTTAAGCCAAAAACTATGAAAATCAAATCCCCAGTTGCACACTGGAACAAGGGGTCAGAAAAATGGCAGAAAATAAATTTTGAAATTTCGAAAATGTTGTAAGAACACATATTAAAATAGTATTTGTCAAAGTTTCTAGTTAAAAATATATATTCTCCCATAGAAGATTAGATTAGAAATTTATCA